TCAGAAGTGGATATTGTCCTTGTACTTGAGGCTGAGAATAGACTGTTCCATTTTATAGTGAGCACAGAAGCATGATGACAGGGTGGGCACCACCACAATTAATGCAGTGAACCTATAGGGTTTTGCAAGAAATCTTAACATGGCTGCATTTGCTACAAAGAGAACAGAAGAACAATTCACTCCCATAAGTCAAAAACCCCATGGCAAAATTTCCAGCAAGTATTGCACTGATGTAGAAAGAGGACATGCTTCTTGACTGAACATATTCTATACATTCCATCGTTATCTTGAGTTGATTTCGGGGCTTTGTAGTGTCCCCGCGGCCCGGTCCTCGACCAGTCCTCCACCCCGGGACAGCTGACTTAACTCCCAGGTACCTATTTATTGCTAGGTAACAGGGGCATCAGGGTGAAAGAAACTCTGCCCATCGTTTCTCACCGGTGCCCGGGATCACATGTCCAGCATACTGTCCGCTCGGCCCCTGACAAAGGGGCCGGCTGACATAAAGGTTATATGATCTTTATGTAACAGTTGACTTCCATAGAGGGTGAAGGACAGTTGGAGGAAATGTCAGTAAAAATCATAGAACGTGATTTCATAGAGAACTTGGTTGTGCCTGGTAGTCCAGAACGACACACTGCCAAAGGCAAACTGAAGCTGACACTGAAGAAGGGAGAAACAGTTACTCTGAGAACAAATAGTAAAGTACCAAATATATCTCACTTGGGAGTGAGGAGGAAAGACCATTAAGAGCAATTAGGTAAAAAAGAGTAGTGCTTAAAACTCTACCAGGTGGAACACTCATATTGGCAGTAATAGGCAGACAGCAGTCCCAAAGCATACCATAAGTACATCAAAAAAAGGAAACTTGGATGAAAAAAGCACCAAATTGCTTCAGTGCCTGTACCAATTACCAAAGGAATGAAAATGGGCTAATAAATTACACCTCCAGGTAATGTCATGTGCTTTCTCTAGGAAAAAAGAATGACTTCAACTAATCAACTACAGAAACGGCATTAAAAATATATACCCTCAAATTACCAGCAAGTCATTTGTAATGCAACACTTGTGAAAGCCAAATTAGGTGTAAAAGCTAATGATTATCTTCTGAAAGGCTACATTAACCATATATTCTAGCAGCATGCAAACACAACTAGTCAGGGCAATAAGGGGAAATTTCCAGGCGAAGTGCTCTGCATACAGGGATTTTCAAAGAGAACAACTTCCATGTACTTTAAAGTACTGTACAGTACATGGAATGAGATGATGTAACATCTTGTAGTGGATACCATCGTAGCCCAGTCTAGTGGATAAACAAAAGGACAGATCAGACTAAAGTTCAGAAAGAGTAAAGAAATCATTCTAAGAGTAACACTGCTGTCTGCAGTGTTATAGTCGTAAGGGCAAGACTTGGCAAAGAATCCCATGACTAAGGAAGTCAGGAGGGAACCAGTGGTAATGGTTCACAAGTGTGAATAGAACACTTTCGCACTTTAGATTATCCATGAGTCGTCACCGTATTTTCTTACGTTTCCGCATAACAGACTACGCCTGTAGTCCATCGAAAAAATATTTGTATAAAATCCATTTATTATCCGATCAACTTGGGAATAGTATACAAATGTTTGCCATGAAATTTACGTTTTCTCTAATAGCCGAACAGCTTATAAAAGAAAACGGCGTGGCAGTGAATCATCGTGGTAAAACAATTGTATTATTGACACGACGAGTGTAATCGACGTAGTTTTTATATATGTTGCCGATCGAACGCATCCTTATGTGACCTTTAATACTTATGTTCTTATAGAACATTCTATTGCGAGCACATTGGTACAAAAATGAAATACATACATCGACAAATAATGTCAGGACAGTGAATTGAATATACACTTTTCAAAGCGAGTTTCGCCGATATGCTGCCGCGGGTAACACTTCGGCCACTTCCCACACTGTTTTGGGTGGGCTACGACATTGAATCTATATTTATATGCATATGTCCGCGTAGAAAATTTTATTGCGATTCCAATGATACCACAATTAGCGATGTAGGACAACTGTAGGCTTCGCAACCATTAAGAGAGTGGAAACATTTTGTTGCTGTTTGGCGCTCTTGGCGAGTGATCTGAATAGTTTTTTATTTGGTGTTGATAGTCCTTATGGTTTGGCGGCATTTTATAGATATGTAGATATCTAGACAGACAATTGTCTATAGATAGACAATTTTATTGCGAACACAGTGATACCAAATTTAAATACGTGCGCCTTCAATTATTATCAGGACAGTAAAAAGAGTGTACACTTTTTCGGTCTTACCGCATAGGCGCGCGGAGCGCCGAAAGCATCTAGGGTATTATTTTTTTTTGAGCGCCAAGAGTGCGAAAGTGTTAATTAATTTAAATTAATTTGACGACACCAGCTCAACTGTAGTGGAACCATCAAGGTGAAAGGTGGGTACTGCATCATGAACAAATGGTGAAAGGTGGGACTGCATCATGAACAAATGGTGAAAGGTGGGTACTGCATCATGAACAAATGGTGAAAGGTGGGACTGCATCATGAACAAATGGTGAAAGGTGGGTACTGCATCATGAACAAATGGTGAAAGGTGGCTACTGCATCATGAACAAATGGTGAAAGGTGGGTACTGCATCATAAACAAATGGTGAAAGGTGGGACTGCATCATGAGCAAATGGTGAAAGGTGGGTACTGCATCATGAACAAATGGTGAAAGGTGGGACTGCATCATGAACAAATGGTGAAAGGTGGGTACTGCATCATGAACAAATGGTGAAAGGTGGGTACTGCATCATGAACAAATGGTGAAAGGTGGGTACTGCATCATGAACAAATGGTGAAAGGTGGGTACTGCATCATAAACAAATGGTGAAAGGTGGGACTGCATCATGAACAAATGGTGAAAGGTGGGTACTGCATCATGAACAAATGGTGAAAGGTGGGTACTGCATCATGAACAAATGGTGAAAGGTGGGTACTGCATCATGAACAAATGGTGAAAGGTGGGTACTGCATCATGAACAAATGGTGAAAGGTGGGTACTGCATCATGAACAAATGGTGAAAGGTGGGTACTGCATCATGAACAAATTAACCCATGGTTATGCAAACCTTTAAGTTTGGTGAAGAGAGGTGTTAACATTGAGAGAGGAGACAAATACCTGTACTTGTAGCTGCACAACTAACCCTGCAGACCTCAGCACAGGCTTTCTTAAAATGAAGGATTCCACTGTTTGAAAGTGCTGATGGGTCTTTCAGGAGAATAAAGCGCTTCAGTCCAGGACTCAGTGGGGTGAACATGTAAACAAGTCCAGAGCAGGGGACAAGAAGGTAAGCAAATAAAAGACAAATAGTGAGTAGGACATCCTTAAAAAAAGGATGGCAGCCTGAGAACAGGAAATATTCTTGTGTTTTTGATGCAGAATGGAAAGCTCCATTTTATAGCTAGCACAGGAATGGAAGAGTTGTGCAAGTACTGTATACTTTATATATAGGTATTGGATATATAAACTGGATTTGCCACAAAGTGGGCAGAATAATAATGGACTTTTTGCAAGCCTATGCCATTAGGCTTCGGCTTGTGTGGAGGAACCATTCCTTAACAGAACATTTGACCCTCACTGGACTATTTGATCCCAATTACAAGAGAGTTCAGAAGAATGCATCTAATGTATACTGAAAGGAGGAACAGGAGAGCGATAGTACCACCCTTAAGGAGCCCCAGTGATGGAGATTTTTCCAAATATGGAAAATAGTGAAAAAATTTAAACAAATCTCCCGTTATTTAGCATCAGCGTCGTGAAAATTTCATCCCAATATATTAAGAAATGGATTTTTTACAAATTTTTAAAAAATAAAAGTGTGCAAGAAGGTCGGCAACCAGTACTGATAATAACAGTAACACCTGTTTACTGGCAGTCAGGGATAGAGATGCAAGCACCTGTCCGACACATAAAGAATAGTAGTGAGAAGGGTCTACAAAGTAAATATGTAGTTGGTGCCACCTGGAGGGCCAGATTTCACACACAGTATAATGTTATGCTGTATTTTATTATGTATCATATAAATATTTAGATTTTGCTACATGAAATATGAGCATTATATGCCATTCTGAGACCATAATGAATAAACTAACAATTGGTTACATATTAATATTTTGACACCAAATTTGAAATTGATTTTTTTTTTCTGTTCATGGTATGATGTTGCTCCATTAGGAAAAGTTGGAGAATTTACCATTTTCTTGAGATCTTGAGGTTATCTTGAGATGATTTTGGGGCTTTTTAGTGTCCCCGCGGCCCGGTCCTCGACCAGGCCTCCACCCCCAGGAAGCAGCCCGTGACAGCTGACTAACACCCAGGTACGTATTTTACTGCTAGGTAACAGGGGCATAGGGTGAAAGAAACTCTGCCCAATGTTTCTCGCCGGCGCCTGGGATCGAACCCAGGACCACAGGATCACAAGTCCAGCGTGCTGTCCGCTTGGCCGACCGGCTACCATGAAGATATTAATAAAAAATCCTTGAGTGTGTTTGAGGAAATTTCAGTGCACAGTCACTGGGCCCTTTAAATTCATCCAGAAAAAATTTAGGTACCTTTTCCAGAACCTTATGGACATGACTCGGTGTATCAAGGTGGATGGCTTGTTCCCGATACTGGATCTCGACAGTGTTCATGCCAGACCATCAAGAACAGAAGGCAAAGTTAGAGCCAATATACTAAAGCAAGCAAATATTCAGCTGGAGATCAACACTGGAATGCTCATCAGTATACTGTAGTTATCGCATTATAGAAGTATTTGGTACTCGTCTTGAGTAAAAATACACCATTAAATATGATAGTATATGAGGCTCGAGAGCACAGTTGAGGGCTTATACAATATAACACTCCCTCAGTTCCTGGGAAGGGGGACTGAGGCAGTGAGAGGAACCCTCTCAAAATATTTGTCTTAAAAATTGTAGATTTGAAGGGTAGTCAGGAAAACAGTATAAAATCATGTTTATTCTTTAGTTATATTAAAGTCATAAACGTTTATGATTGTAAAGAATATTTAAATTTATCCTTTTGGAATTGGTATAAAAAAATTGGGCAATGTAAAGCTGCTCTGTAGAGATAATGTTTGTGAAAATTAATTTAGTGTAATAACCTCAATTACATGTTCCAAAATTGAAACTTGTGCATGGAATGTGTACAATTTATGGAATTACTGTACAGTTTGTAAATAATGTCCCGTTCTACTTTGGGTCACTTATGACCTTAATTTGTATATAAAAAAATAAGTTGCACAATAATAAAAAACTCTCCTGAATTTTTTTTTATATGGTTTTGAAACAAAATAAAGTAAGACATGAGAAGCATTTATATGAATGTTATATACTTAATGTGATTCAAATATTTTCAAAAGCAGATATTACATTTTAGTTTTTATTTAAGTGTGACAATAACAATATTTAGTACTGGATGTTTAAATACAAAGCTTCATGAATATAGTGCATTGATCATCTATAACAAAAACTGAATATACTGTAGTGCAAATGATCATTCATAACAAAAATTAATGTTAAGGATAAAACACCTACACTTACATATTTGTGTTTTATGTAAAGGTTTAAACTACACCAAGTCTTTCGCACTCTCCAGGTCTTAAGTATATGGTTAGGACGAAACTGTCATTGAGATGCAAGTCTCGTCCTAACCACATAACCACCTTGATAATGCACTCAGCAGTGTGAAAGACTTGGTGTAGTTAACAGCTTTTCATAAAATATACAAATACATAAGTTTTTTTATCCTATGTTATTACATCTGTGATAAGACATATACTGTATTAATGTTATGGTAAAGTAAAGATTAACAATCCAGGACTGGCTGAAACCTTGTGTTCTCTTCTTGTGTGGCATTCATATGAAATTTGTTAAATATACTATAACTTGCCTTTAATCACTTATGCCTTGTTTGTGAAGATTAAAAGGGCTGATTTAAATTTTACATGAATTTGATTGTTTTTCTTAACAATGTGTAAAGAATTCACCTAATTTTACACCGTACTATAATGTATTCATGGCTCAAACTCCTAACTGCTGTTGAGGATACACTCCACCAGTGTATAACAAAATTAGTGTTCTACTAAACCCAATATAAATATATATTTACCGAAGCAGCACTCGTAATACACAAACCCCAAAAATGCACATCATTCCTTCATGCATGAGAAGCACGTGCATTCTTTCATCTGCAGCAGCAGCACTTGCATTAACATTACGTTTATGGTCACCTGTGATAACAACTCTGGCAACTAATTAGCGACTCCGTGGTTTGAGTTCATCATAACATGATCTTAGGAAAATATAATTCTTCTTCTGTGGATTAAAATATTCATGACCCTGCAAAAGAAAAAAATTATTAAATTTACATAATTGTAAATTTACATGCACTCTGTCTTTTAAACATGTTCATAGTACCTCAGAATATTACATTTCACCTACTCAAGTCAACATATTATTTTCTCATACATCTTTCCTATATTTATTCTACACACACCAGCTGCTTTTCCTGAAAAAATTAAATTTTCCAGTGTTTGTACTCTTGAATACTCTGGCCCTTTTCATACCCAAGTTTTGCTTCCATATGCCTTGGCTGGTAGTAATATACCATCACCACTCTTCCCACTCATTATCCCCCTATTATTTCACCTTCTGTATCTCATTTTTAAATAACAATGCCCTTAAGTACTGGTACTTAAGGGCAAAGTACAACTTGCTCCTACTTTCAGTATCTCTCTCTCTCTCTCTCATTTTCTTTCCTACATTTAAAAAGTTACATGTCTTGCTACTATAGGGATCTATGATATTTACAACAATACTTAAAAAAATGACAATGCAGAACCACCACGACAGTATCACGGCTTACCTTGGACCAATCATATGAGACAGCATATGCAAATATTTGGCCATTGTGGTTAAATGCACAACAAGAGATAGGCTGCTCCATAGCCTCCGAGTTCTTCAGCTTTGTGCGGGCATCTTTGTCCCAAAAGCTGAATCTCCCATCAGAACCCACTGTAGCCAGTGTGCCATGAACTGGATGAAACTTGATATCATTTACCTGTTGGGGAACATTGATGAGTTGATGAAATTGAATTGAACTTTATCCAAGGGGATACATAGACCAATGTTGGACCCTTAAAATATTTTGGTTACTGTATATTGTCTAGTGGAATGACAAGCACCTAGATGTGATGCTAAATTCTGTATGAATTTTAGCAACTTATTAACAACTCTAATTAGACATACATTTCCAGATTTAAACTAACTATGAATACCAGGATTGATAGGAAGACAAATTTTTGTATTAGGGTTTGGAACCTAGATTTAAAATGGCAGATCATTTCAATGAGCTCAACTAGTATGCATTAAGACACATTTGTTATTAACTCATTTCAAAATTTTATTCATAAATGGTTGTTGGTGAAGAGGGTCAGAAGTAGATGGTGAGAATGTTGAAAATCCAATACATGGAGGTGATACATCAAATACAATCAGTAGTTGGCCTAAGGAGGACCTCAATATGCCTATAACAAGCTACCTGTCCTCGACAATGGGAAAACCACACCACACGATCATGTTAGATCACTAATATGATCACTTCCCACCTTCCGGTCCCCACAACTAACAAGATCGCTAGTATACCACATTTTCAGCAAAATCAAATATGCTCCAATTGGCAACTTGAAACATGTCATTAGCACAGCATAGTGTATCACCACTAGCCTTGCTTTTAGAGCAGCTTATTTCATCTTTTAGTGGATAATATTCAGTATAACTGCTACTAATGTACTGTATTTCTCTTCATCACCAAAATCTTCCAGCTCTTTCAAAGTCTTTGCAATTTTGCAAGGCATTAACAGTCCCTAGCAGTCGCACTGCTGAATGATGCACCAGGCAGTGACATTTCTTTGCAATGGCTCAGGAAAAAAATATGGACTCTTGGGATTTTTTTTCTAATATGCCAAACAATCGCCAGAGATCTTTAGTGATGAGTAGCATCCTTAGAACTGGCAGGCCATTTAAATGTAGGCTGGCAAAAATTGCAATCACTTGCCACGAGATGATGGGAACAGGCCAAGGGTTAATGTTATAACATTTATTATAGAGTAAAAGGTTTCTTTAATATTTCAATGTGTTATGTCCAGAGACCAGCACTCTTATCCTAAATGTTCAAAATAATGCCAATACGGTACTATAATTTTCATACTGTATGTAAGTGAACCTCCCACCTGGATTTTGTAGTACAGTTTCTGTCTTTTAGGCACTGTACAGTATAATGGACATAAATTCTTTTGGTAATGTACAGAGAAATATGACTAGGTTAACTTTAGGAACAGAGAGCTGTTAATTTCCACTCTATTTATTCAATGGAGTGGTAGTTAACACTCATTCATAACTGCTATATTAAATGGTAATTTATTGCTAGATAATATGAATGCATGTTAGCTTCCACTCTACTCAGTCCAACCACTTGGGCTGGATGGTAGAGTGACGGTCTTGCTTCTTGCCGGTCAGCGTTCAATCCCTGACCATCCAAGTAAGTAATTATCAAAAGAAGGCACCAAGCCCTGGCCGTCCAAGTGGTTGAGCATCATTCCTTTCCTGCGTCCTATCCTAAATCCTTATCCACATCTCTTCCAAGTGTTATAGTCTTGAAGATGTGGCACTTTCTCCTGATAATTACTTTACCTTCCACTCTACTCAGTCATAACAGGAGCCTTCCTTGTGAACTCATATGAGTAAACTAAGTTTACATTATCTAAAAAAGTAAAGTATTAAGGAACATAACTGAGATATACAAATGGATGAAAAAGTTTACTAAGGGCTACATAAATAGTTTAAAAAATATTATCCAAAGTAAGAACATAAAATAATGAATTCACATTGGAAAAGTTTATATTTACTAGAGAAACAAGTAAACATGTTACTATTACCATCCCAAAGTATGATTATGTAAAACTTACTGCATATATGTCTTGGAACCCATTGGAGGTACCATTGGAGCGGTGACACTTGAAAGTGAAATTGTCCCGTGGAGAAGCAGTCACGATATACTGTATAGCCACCCGTCCCTCAACACTGCCCAGAGCAAAGCCAGCAGGAGCACCTGCCCCTTTCTTGTCTTTGAAGATTGCAACACACCGATGCTAGTTGGTGCAAAAGCAGAATACAAAATGGTTAAATACTAGTACTCTTTATACATACAGGTATATGATTTTATTTAAATAAATATTTTCTGTATATATATATATATATAAATAATCTGAACTGTTGGTATTATTTTTATCTATACAGTAGTCTGCTAAAAATCTAGAACAATATTAACCACAGAGTTTTAGGTTTAAAAGATGAAGGTGTGTTGACTCCTAGAATCATTAAGACCACAATCTACCTTAATTTCTATACTTTGTGTGTGCTACAAACCTGAAACAAGAATTAAGGAGCAAAGTGTGTAGCTACAATAAAGGGACCTTCTCAGTGCTCAGGCCCCCTGTCTCCAGAAACTTACAGAGGTAAAAAATCTAAATACAAATACCCGTACTTGGACATAAACCACCATTCCATCTTCCTAATACAAAAATAAAGCACATAACTCTTAGTTAAAATATTTTCTGGAGACCAAGAACATCTATCCTACAAGATGTTACTAAAATCACTTAAACTTTCTTAAATGCCAAGACGTAGCAAAATAAATTTAATAAATAAGAATGAAAGGAGACTTGACAAGATACATACAGACTCATTAGAACCCAATGAAAATGCCAACATCCACAGGAGAACTATTTTGCAGAATTTTTTTGTTTCCTTCAAATTCAAAGTGGGTCTGTTTTGATCCCAACAATGGTCATATGGCAAAGTTTCCCAGCTAGTGAAGAGTAATCAATGCTTGACCAAGCCATCCCAAAAATTATAGAACCTATAGCTACTATGGATGGAATGTACAAAATATGAACTATGGTGTTAAAAACAAATCACATTCTGTACAACAGTGTTGGAATTCTAAAGATCATAACAAAAAAATAAGAGAAGAGTATTTATAGACATAACCTAACCTGTCCTAAATCTGAATAAGCAATTTGTTGCTTAACATAATCTTATGCCTAATTTAGTGCATATATGTACTATACCAGGCCTAGGAAAATTAGGCTTGGTTGTTGCCCACTTTCTCAGGCCCTCGATAAAATAGTATAAAAATGGAATTATCTGATTGCAATGCTTAATATTTTGTTACGTACTTTCATCCATAGTAAATACTGCATAGGTACTGTACTATCATTTTTGGATTATAAGTTGAATTAGACATGAAGTGAAGGAATATAATGAAGAATGGTTTTGTGAACACATTTCCTATTCTTGCCCTGTGAATAGTAGCAGAGTCTCACAGCCACTCACCTTTATACAGTGAAGGACATAGATGTTATAAGTATAAAAACTGCTGAAGCTGAATTAAAAGGAAGAATACCTGATATTTGAGTGGCGATTCAATTTGTTTGAATTCTTGTGGTTGTCCTTCAAGTTGGTATACAATTAGATGACGATTAGCAGTGCCAACCACTGCCATGGGATACTCTACATCAGCACAGTAGCATCGCTCTGGCAAGTTGATAGTTAATATGGGTTGGGGGTTCCTTGTGTCCCAAAACTGTAATCATAAGTAAACATTTCTGTAAATACTATACACAACAAAACTATGAGTGACTAAATATATAAATATGGCACATTTCCAGTTAGTCGGGTGGTAGAGGTAGGTACAGAACTATACAGTATACCTAACAATGCAGCCACACAAAGTAATTTGAAAGAAGCACAGCCCCAAAATTATTCTGAAAACTCCCACTAGGAAATAAAGAGGATTTCATATTGACATTTGGCACTTTATTACTTTTATTAAACCTACAGTATACAGTGTATACTGTATACAAATATATATATATATATATATATATATTCCATACAAGTAGATATCGGGTACCAATGAGCATTTAGTTAACAATTTTATATACAAAAAATGTCTTCAATGGTTATTTTCTACTGTAGTCAAAATTAATTTGAGCAAATTGTGCTTCTGTAAACATGGCCTTTAGAAATTATTAAATGATGGTCTGAATAATTCATGCACTTTATCTTAATTTTCATGTACTGTATAGAAACAGTCTTTAAATTTAATATAGTTCAGTATTTCTTGGGAAATGCAGGACTAATGCAATAATTTATGACTGAGCATTAAGTACTGTATAGCAGATATTTCTTGCTCACTCTCTCTCTCTCTCTACAATATCCATACTTTTACCAAGGGTATATTTAACTAAAAAAACAAATACCAGCTCATTTATCTCTTACTTTGAGCGTCTTGTCCCAAGAGCCGGTCATGATGCAGGAATAGGTGGGTGCCTTAATCCAGTGAACTGTTTTAACCGGAGCATCATGCTGCGCCACCTGCATCTTCTGGTTGCTCCCCAAGTCCCAGCAGTGAACTGTTTTGTCAGCACTTGCCATGAACACCTGTTCCACAAATAAAACATGGAAAGTAGTAAGTTTAAAGAATATGTATACAGTAAGTCTCAATAACATGGCTGAAAACTACACACCTGACTCACAAATCTGAAAATAAAAGAAGTGATGAGGTTTCGATCTGTTTAAAAGAATATTTTGTATTGCCAGATTTTGGAGGGATGCCCATAATCATGTTCTCCAGTTCCATTAAAGCTCACCCACTTTCTATTCTTTCTTTTAGTAAACCATTATTAATACTTTTTAATAAGTGATACTGTGAATGCAAAGACTAAATAAAATTAACTAATTGAGTACTTATCCCCTAGAATGTTCTCAGTTGAACCAATTAGCTATTTTGGTAATTGGTTCAACTGAGGTTCGACTTCCAGAAAACAGAAAAGAGACTGGGCTGACCAATGGGATAAGAGGAGAGGATGGCCCAGAACAAACAATACCCAAATGCACCCATGTGCAGTGAAAATGAAGGATATCCAACAAGGAATGAGAGGCTAACATCAGAAGGACTGCAGAAGCCCCAAGCTTAATGATCAACTGTGGGCAAACTGGCAGAGGAAGTCATCAAAGCAGTAAACACCAGCACATCCTAAGATTGAGGACAAATAGCTGGCCAGGTGGATTGAACCACCACATGCAACGGCTGGGTAGGCCTTGGAAAAGGGGCAGGAGAAACAGTGGTGACAAACAGTCCCGAACACAAGTACACGAGGAGTACACAAAAATATGCCACAAGACAGACAATGCCAGAGACCAAACAACAGCCATAGCAGCCAGAGAAAGAGGAGAGGACTCAATGCTTCTCTCCAAATGCCAGCAAACAGAGGCTCCACAAAAGCCAAATGATATGAGATGAGGTAACATCATAGGCAGCAATTGGCACTATAAGAAATGCCAGACAGAAAAGAGCCAACAGCATCCAAAACAAAGAACGTATGCTGAAGAAGGGAAAACAGGCCAATGGGTATATATCACCAAAGAGATGGCACAATAAACTACCCTGATCACCAGACCAGGGTGAGCCCCCAAAGTGACTATGAGGCAGTGGTGCAGGGCAAACAGATGTACCTAAGTGACCAACACCTTAGAACTCCTACCGCATCCAGGAGTTGGAGAAATGTGGGCAACAGACTGGCCTGAAGCTTTAACTGGAGCTGCCGACAACAGCTTAAAAATTCAGATGAAGCAGCAGAGGACACACCCATTGCTCCAGAAACTTTTAAAACTCCTACTTCCGAGAAGAGAAGAGAACAGGGCAGCAAAGGAGAGTAAACAAGCGGACTCTTTAGAGGAACCAAAACAGCAAGCCAGCAGGCAGGAAGAGCCATGAAGTAGTCAGCAACCTGCAAGAGCAGTGTGAACAACCTGGGAATGGCAACCACGCCCACAACAGCAGACAACAAGGCAGAGGATGAGCTAAGGCCAATGAGAACTCATCAGAGAAGATGATGAGTTTGCACTGTGCAAGGAAACAAAAGAATGTCTGTAAACCAGGATGAAGCTAGGAGTCTACCACAGCCAGAAACTGAAAGATGACCCAGATGCAAAGGACAGATCTAAATGCAGATGCAGTGTCCCAGTTTTGCAGCAGGTACTCATTAGGTTCCATTATGCACTCTGTCCTGTGTCTGGGGTGTGGTATTCTTTCTTAGCATTTCTTGTGTGGTTAGTCAGGATTCTGCTTGTCACTGCTGTTTTCCCATCTGTTGTTCCAAGCAAGACCTGGTAAGACTTTACCTGGTCTTACACATTTACGAGGTTCAGTCCAGCCAATTGGCAGTTTGTCCCTAATCTAAAGATGCGTGGGTGTTAGCTGCTTTGACAGCTTTTTCTAATTTTGTCTAAGGCTGATATTCAAGGTTCGAACAAGACGAACTTCTGGCAGTTCGTCTTGCTGTAACTGAATGTACTCGAGCACTCAGTGCACAGCTTTTCCTCTTTACCTCTACCTCAAGCCCTCCTCTCCTGCTGTTCTTATCTCATGGGTCAGCCAGTCACATTTTATGTTTCTTAGAAATCCCTCCTCTCTTGAGGCACCATTGTGAGCAAGCTCAGGGAGGTACTAAGGGTCCCTCCATGAAATCAAGCATTGAATGGAATGACATGCTCTTTTTTTTCTGCTGGGGGCCCCTAGTAGCTCCCCAACCAGGTCCTGTTCTGGTTGGTTTGGTTCTGGTTCTGATTTGGTTCTTGCATGGGTGGCTCCTGAGTAAGGAAGCAGGCTGGTTGGTTGAAACCTATAGTGGGTGTCATAGGTTGTTAAATGCTGGCAGTCAGATGCATTACATTTTGCCTGGAAGTAATGTCTTCTTTCGTTTCCACCTTTGCATAAACCTTTGTATCATCTGTAAATATGATAGTGTGGCTTGAGATGGCTTTGTTATTAATGTTGCTGATGTAGATTACAGACAAGAGTGGTCCCATAATGGATCCTTGTGGAGCATAACTTAAACTTTTATTGTCATTACATTGTACTCTTTTGTAAATTATTTCATGTGCTTGAATTTTCTTGGCTAGTCTTTTGATTGGCACTTAATCAAATGCCTTAGAAAAGCCCATATATTGTATAAATTTACCTGATGGGGTTCCTTCCAGAAAACACTGCTTGATTCTGTAGGTTATAGGTATGAATCTGCTCAATTTCAATTTCAGCATGAATACAAACTGACTGACTATTTCAAAACAGTCAGTTTATTGTATAGATCTTGTGCAGAGTTAAATACCTGTAAGTCAAGCAAATTTGTTCCCAGAGTAGCCACCAGGAGATAAAATAAAAGCATTGCATCATGACAATCACAAGCACAGTATGTACAGTATATTGGATATGTTCGATGCAAATCTTCTAAAGTGTCGTGAAATTATTATCTCCTGGCAGGACAGAAAGGAAAAATATAAAAGTTAACATGTTTTAAGAATAAAAATAATGTGAGAAAAGACACTTCCAATATTGTGTAGTTTTACATACAAACTGGATTCTCTCAATTAATTTTACACATTCACACTGCAATGCCACTTGATCTATTACATTTTCTCTACATTCCTGAATACCTTTGTGAATACTAAATTTTTATTTATTATGTGCAGTTTTTCTATCTCTACATATTTCCTTCCTTACTACTTGCACCTGCTAAGAAAAACAATAAATTTGTTCTCATACACCCATCTTCATCAGTGGCAAAATGAGAAACTCTTCCAACTGTGTTTCAAGTCATTAAAACAACGAGATACAGCCTTTCGACAAACTAACACACTTCGTAGCAATCTAGTTCACACTGCTCCTCCTGCTTCTAATGCTGCTGGTGTCTACTCTATTTCCTGTTCGTCTTGTCCTCTCCAATACTTTGGCGAAACTGGCAGTTCACTGAATGACAGACTTAAAGAACACAAGAGAAGTGTTAAGTCTGCAGACATTAACAATGCTCTCTTCTGCCATGTGACGGATTCTTATCATCCCATTGATTGGTCTTCCTCCAAAATAATCTTTCCTGCCTCTACTCTACACAGACGCCGTCTTGTTGAATCGGCTCTAATACACAATGTACCCAACATAAACTTGAGTCCTGGCTTTGTTGCTGTGGACTCTTCCCTTTCACAATATATACTCAAATGCTCTAATCTTTCTAACAAACGTGACCCTACATAAGTTTACCCTTTCCATTTACCTTTCTTTCTCTTTCCTTTCTTTCTCTTTTCTCTCCTTTTTCTGTTCATTGTCTTCTCTTACGTTCCCTCGTTTTCCTCTTTGTATTAAACTGCATCTGCCAGTCTTTATACTGTGACGGTAACGCGTTGGTGTTCGGCTGTTTAAGGCTAGGGGTATGGCCTCGTCACATAGTTATAAAAAAAAATAGAAAAACTGGAACTTCGTCTGTGGTAAGGTAAGGAGAAGACACACAAAACACAAGTAAACTTTAACAATGAAATTTTAATTACGTTAAATAAATCAAAACATGAAAATAATGCACAAACAAATTCTTATAATAAAATCAATGAATCAAAATAATAAGAATACTTAAATGACACAATGAAAAGTTACGTTAAGGCAAAATAACAAGAAGTGCAACACAAAAGTTAAGTGGGAGGTGCTGGAATATTGGCTTAAAGCCACCACCTCTCTCAGTACACGCTAACGTCTAGCTGGGAGGAGTGCTGGCTACGAAAGCACGGAACATTCTGAGGACTGATGTTGGGGCGACCCCAGACATCAGGTAGTATTGGGGGCGAGTGCAGGTGCAGCCAGACCGGCGACCAATCAGCGGAGCCGTAGCGATCAACGGGTAGTTTGGTGGTTGGAGTTCGAACAGGTGGCTGGATGCATACGTTTCTGCTCACCCTGGCAAGCCTTGCTGGTGCTGGTGTTGTTGTCGTTGTTTGACATTTCTTCCATAGTCTTTTATATAATTGTGACGACGTAATTATGAAGGGAAGAGCAGGCTCAATCTCTTGAAGGAGATTATTGTCACAACTCTCCCCCGAAGCCTGCGGTTCTGGAAGAAGTACGTCGTTATGTGGTGGAGTAATGGATGGAGTCGCTTCTACTTCATAAACTCTGGAGAGATCATGGGCTAAGATGTTGTCAGACTCTTGGTATAGCGTGTCTCCAGGTTGAATTTCTGCAGGTAGCAAGCCCATAGTAGAAGACGTTGAGATGAGAAGTGGGCGTGCTGCAGGAGGTGTAGGGTGGTGTGGTCCGTGTTGATGGTGGACCGAGCACTTTTCAGGTGTGGAGTGAAGTGCTGAAGCTTCAGGATGAGGAAGAGTAGCTCCTTGCCAATTGTTCCGTCGTTCCTTGTAGCAGTAGTCGCTGACAGGTGAATTCTTCTCGCCTCGTTGCTGCATCACGACACCACCATCGTCGGTACCATTGGCGTCGACATGGAGGATGTAGGGCTTATCTGACGAGGTGAGAGTGGAATTAGAAGAGGGCATAGGAGCACGAGTATTATCCTGAAAGCATTTGGGAAGATCATTAAGGATTTTGGAATTAGAAAGCGCCGACTCCTTGTCAGTGCTTTCGGGAGAAGAAGCCGGGAAGGTCTCACTGTGGATGTAGGGTTCTGTGAATGTGGAATAATTAGTCAAGACAGTGGGAGGAGTACCATTATATTGCTTCAGGAGGTTGACGTGGCACAGCTGGGTCTTCCGCCGCCTATCTGGAGTCTCTATGACGTATGTGTTGTTGCTTCTGCACTCTTTGACGCAGTAGGGTCCTGAAAATCTGTTTTGTAAAGGTGAACCTGGGATAGGGAAATAAGCAAGGACGAAGTCTCCCGGCTTGAATTTTCTTACTTTGCTGGTCTGGTCGTAATGAGTCTTCATTCTCACCTGGGCTTTCAATAGATTATCATGGGCAAAGCGGTGGACTCTCTCTAGAATGTGCTGAAGGTTTTGAAGAAACTGGGGCACATTCTGATGCTCACTGAAGGTGGCATCTCTGAGAGAGTCTTTGAAAGCCTTAAGGGGAGTACGGCACTTACGGCCGTAGAGCATCTCATAAGGAGATACTCCTAGGGACTCATTGGGGAGACTTCTGAAAATACACATTATTAGGTCAATCTGCTTATCCCAATCCTTTGAGGTTTCACTACAAAACTTTTTCAAGAGTGCTTTGATGGTCTGATGACTACGTTCAAGAGAACCCTGTGAAGCAGGATGATAGGGGCTGGACAATACCTGTTTGATGTTGAACTCCTCCAGTGTCCTTTTGAAGAGATCACTGGTGAAGTTGGTGCCACAGTCACTTTGAATCTCCCTGGGAAATCCGTATTGAGTGAAGATCTTCAATAGATGTTTGATAACCGTAGCAGCCGTGATGTTCTTCACTGGAACTGCTATGGGAAATCTGGTGGTAGGACACAGGATGGTTAGGATGTAGGCGTTACCTGAACTGGTCCGAGGTAAAGGACCAACACAGTCTATTATGAGTCTGTGGAAAGGTTCCGCAGGCACCTGTATGGGAATCAGTGGTGCTCTGGGAATGGAGACGTTCGGTTTGCCTGCCATCTGACATGTATGACACTGTTTTACGTACTGTTTGACGTTGTTTACCATACCTGGCCAGTAGTAGTCTTGACGAATCCCATGGTACGTCTTGTTGAAGCCGTAGTGGGAGAATGCTCCATGGGCCAGGTGTAGAATAGTGGGCCGCAGGCTGGTGGGAATCACAAGTTGTTCGGTGTTGGCCCAATCGTCCTCCTCCTTCAGTTTACTGGGTCTATATCTGCGGTAGAGCAAGTCGTTCTCTAGGAAGAACCCAGGAATACTGTCGGGTTGAGTCTCAGCCTGGAAAAACAATGGTGTTAAAGTAAGATCTTCCCTCTGCAACTTACGGAACTCCAACTTGGTCAGATGCGGGGGTAGTTTCTGAGGGTCTTGAGGGACAGCGGTAGCAGTAGAGTCAGCTGGCTGTGGACGTGCGGCTTGTGCACGGGTGGTCACGAGAACCGGAGGAGAAACTTCATCACTCTCTTGAACCTCTGCTGGAACATACTCGAGAATAGGATTTATGGGCACAGAGTTACACACCTGGGGTTTGTCCATGACGATCAGGTTGGTCGGTTGCAGGTCTTCTGCCAAGTCGTTGCCTAGGAGAAGTTGCACTCCAGGCATGGGAAAAGGCTTTTCCCTGACGGCGACTTGGACTTCCCCGTTCACGTAGGGACAATTCAGGTGGACTCTGGCGAGAGGGTATGGAGTGGTAGCAGTGAGGTCAGTGATGAAGACTGTTTCCCCGGTGTAGACTATGTTGGGCACAGCCGACTTCAAGATGATCGATTGTAGAGCCGCTGTGTCCCTCAAGATCTTCAATTTGAAACGTCCCTCCGGATTTGAACCGTTGGCAGAGACAGTTCCAGTATACAGGTGGTTACTGAAAAGAGAAAGATCATTAACATCAACACCAACATTCATCACAGGCTTACCGGACTTAGGAGGAGTTGGTTTGGGTCGTTGTTGGTCAGTGGTTCCCTTGTATTGAGACTTACCACACTTGTCTATGGTATGTCCATAGAGTCTACAATACTTGCAGTACAGTTGTGAACCAGCTTGATCGGGGCTCACCTTCTCGTAACTGTACCACGACTTCTTACTGGAGGATGGTTCAGGTGTCAGCCGGTGGATGAGGCTGTAAGTGTCAGCCGACTTAGCACACTTCAGGTAGTCGGTTTCTTCTTTATCTGCTAAGTAGAGGCGGACAGGAGGCGGCACACGTCTCAAGAATTCTTCAACAAGCATCAGGTTGACGAGTTCTGTAAAAGTAGAGACATGTGCTGCTTCCAGCCATTTCATGAAATACCTCCGTTTCGTGTTAGCAAACTCGAGGAAGGTAGTGGTACTTGCCTTCAGGTGGTCACGGAATTTCCTTCTATAACTTTCGGTGGAAAGTAGGTAGGCGTCTAACACTGCTTGTTTCAGAGTGTAGTAGTCATTCTCAGACGCCAAAGTACTGAGTGTGACTGCAGCTCTACCTGTAAGATGGACTCTGAGAAGTGTTGCCCATTGGTCGACAGGCCAACTGAGTTGATTAGCAAGGGTTTCAAAGGTGGTAAAGAACACATCAACTTCTGCTTCTACAAAGGATGGCATTAACTTACTTGCATGTGATATATTAAAACTGACGGGAAGATTGGCAGTAGCTTGTTGGCGTTGAGTGAAGTGTGAAGTTTCCAAGGCGATTTCACGTTGACGACACTCTAGAGCCAGAGTTGCTTGTTGCTTGTCATGTTCGCGTTGTATTTCCAACTCGCGTTGTTTGGTTTCAAGCTGTACGCGTTCCCGCTCCTGGAGTGCTTCAAGCTGTACTCGTTCCCGCTCCTGGAGTAGTGCAACCTCACGTTCTTGGAGGGCGAGTCCTCGTTCTTGTTCTTCCCTCCGTATGGCAGCTGCTCGTTCTTGTTGTTCGAGGGCTTCCCTTTGCTGTTCGCGGGCTTCCTTTTGCTGCTCACGTTCAATCTTAGCCAGCTCTAGTTTAAGTTTCATCGTTGCCAAGTCAGTTTTATCTGCAATATAGTAAGTTTCATGAGTTTCAGAGTCTATCTTACCTTGCTCTAAATAGTAATCCAGCAACAGGTTGTGTAGGTCATTTTTGTTGGCTTGATAGGGAACTTCTAGTTGATACTCATGTGCAAGAGTTTGTAGTTCAGTCCTCTTGGCACGACTTAAAGTCCCTATTTCACCTGCTGGATTTGCACGGAAAGTTTGGAGACGAAACATGGTGAAATTAGCAAATAAAGGTACACGAATGTTCAATAATGAAATGTCAGAAACAGGACAACGTGGCAACTGGTACCTATCCTGTGTGATCTTTAACAATTAACGTTAAGTGAAAGATATTAAATGATTAAATTAAATCAAGGGCGCAGGAAATCTTGTACCCGGTACTCATGTAAGAGAATAAGGGCAAGAAAATCCTACTAACAAATGAAACAAAGTTTCGAAAACAAATGAAACAGTTAAATGCTTCAAAAGTAAAATTGGTAGTCCAAGGATGTAGGCATACCTTGCCAAGTCTCTATAGGACATAAAGCAAGTTTTTCCCACTGAATTTAATATGATACTTACAGAATTAGCGAACTTTTGTGCTCTGAAAAAATAAGCTAATTCCCTACCGTTGTATGTATCATCATCTCTGACTGACGTGTAGGGGTGCGAGGTGTCAACTGGTGACGAGAACTGCTGCTGAGGTCCCAATTCAGCAACTAAAGTTCGAGCTAGAGGAACTATGGCCCTCTTTGTCCTCCTACAGTCAGATTGCAGAAGATTGGGTACTCTTGACCCGGGGCAGACCACAGTACCAGGGTACCAATATGATGATCTGTCAGAATGAGAAATATTCAAGGGACATAGATGGTAAATACGAGTAATAACAAGGAGGGAGAGATGACCAATTAAGAGTATGACTGCGGCCTACAGTCACCACGTAATCCAAAGTTGTCTCACCTTCACTATATGTTACTCTCGTAATGCACAATACACCGCACCTTATAAAAAATGAAATTGAATGAAAAATAGTAAAGCTACGTTAACAAAGTTAAATACGCTTACCATAAATTACCACTTGGCACCAGTACCTGAGTGAAGCTCCCGGACAGGCCCCCATATAACTTGTGACGGTAACGCGTTGGTGTTCGGCTGTTTAAGGCTAGGGGTATGGCCTCGTCACATAGTTATAAAAAAAAATAGAAAAACTGGAACTTCGTCTGTGGTAAGGTAAGGAGAAGACACACAAAACACAAGTAAACTTTAACAATGAAATTTTAATTACGTTAAATAAATCAAAACATGAAAATAATGCACAAACAAATTCTTATAATAAAATCAATGAATCAAAATAATAAGAATACTTAAATGACACAATGAAAAGTTACGTTAAGGCAAAATAACAAGAAGTGCAACACAAAAGTTAAGTGGGAGGTGCTGGAATATTGGCTTAAAGCCACCACCTCTCTCAGTACACGCTAACGTCTAGCTGGGAGGAGTGCTGGCTACGAAAGCACGGAACATTCTGAGGACTGATGTTGGGGCGACCCCAGACATCAGGTAGTATTGGGGGCGAGTGCAGGTGCAGCCAGACCGGCGACCAATCAGCGGAGCCGTAGCGATCAACGGGTAGTTTGGTGGTTGGAGTTCGAACAGGTGGCTGGATGCATACGTTTCTGCTCACCCTGGCAAGCCTTGCTGGTGCTGGTGTTGTTGTCGTTGTTTGACATTTCTTCCATAGTCTTTTATATAATTGTGACGACGTAATTATGAAGGGAAGAGCAGGCTCAATCTCTTGAAGGAGATTATTGTCACATACAACATATTAGCTCTCGAGGAACACACAAGATAAAAAAGTGCACCTCGGATGTCTAAATAACAGAAATTAAATAAAATGATTTTAAACAAATGAAATAAACAATTATTCCTTCCTCAATTACTCATTTTAGAAAAGACAACATTAATGTGAAGATACTGTACATACATAAGTGCTACAATATTAAAAACAAGAAAACAAATAACTAGAAAGTACAGTATTTTACAAGATCTTAAATTCATGGAAAGACATTAAATTCATAAAATAACTAGAATTTTTATTTTTCAATTAGATCATGAAAATTCAAATACTGTACCAAAAACAAAAAAATCATGAAATTATTTGAACCCTAAAATCTATTGTGACGATAATCTCTTTCTAGAGAGATCGAGCCTGCTCTTCCCTACCTCAAGTTACGTCCAGTTAACAGGTATAAGATGCTACATTCAAGATACGTCACCGGTAGCACAAAACGCTTTGACCAGGAGGCAAAACGTACCCAAGATCCCCCCTACTCCACACGCCCTCCACGCCGGCTTGTCGTCAAACCAGCAAACTACCCATACCAGCCTGCCTGCTCCTGCTTGGTGACTCGCCGACCGCGCACCTGCACACTGCACCATCTACCTGAATCGACGTCGGAGTCCTGACCAGCTATCAACTTCAGAATATTCTTTGTGCTCTTAAGAGTTGACATCTCTCTCTGGCATACTAAGCTCACTGGCTTGTATACGAAGGGAGGTCTCAGCCATAGCCGATATTCTCAGCACCATTTTACCATTTCACCTTTATACTATTGTCTCTCACATTGTCTTTGCATTTATCTTTGTTATTTAATTGTACTTTTCATACCCCCGAGACTTGTCTTTATTTTCATTTATGTTTAAAGTAAATATATTAAAGTTTCATTGTTCATACTTTGTGTTTTACGTGTTCCTCCCTCTCACTTACCACAGACAACAGGCAAGCAGTCTATCTTTTTGTTTTATGTGTGACCAGGCATTGACACCTGCCATTGGAGGACTGCCGAACATCAACACTCCAACACTTTCCCGTCACACTACACATTCATAAGCGTGGTCCCCTCATTTTGATAATTAATTATTTACTTTTTTAGTTACTTAACATCTACATCGAATTATGATAAATTATTGAGCCTACTTACATTATTGTCCCAGCTTCCAGCTACTAGAAAGTCTTGGGGATTGGATGGTGGGGAGAATTCCATACACTGAACAGAGTCATCTGGTGGATTCACAACCTGTTATAACAGTACAACCTTGTCTTATATTCAGAATTAATTTACTAAGACTAACAGTAAGGTTACATGCATATATACAATACTGCATATCAAAGCATATTTTATAAAAGTAAGCCTTACCTCAAAATCCTTCATAGGGTTTGCAGATGCTGGAGTAGAACTAGGTAATGCAAATCCCCCAAACCCAGAGCCACTGCTCCCAAATGTACTTGGATTAAACATACCTGAAACAATAATCAAGTTATATTCTGACAAAAAATTTACATACAATTACCAGTAATGGTAAGTTTTCCTTCCCCCTTTTGCCCTGCATAATTACGATGGGGAAATCTCAACTTTGACATTACTAGGGGTAATAGATAAAAAGGTTAAAAGCCACTGGCCAAGATAAGCCTGGTAGGCCTCCTGAGCTCAACAATGGGAAACCAAAAAGGAAACAGAAACCATATTTCAGGTGAAAATACATTTGATCAAATTGGACATACCAGAGAAGACTGTCAACTGGAGAAGATTGATTAAGGAAACTGCAGAAGGCTGATTAGCCCACCATGGCAGCTCCTATTTATATCCACCCAAACCCATTCATGTACACAGTATGTCTATTCTACCCATAAAACAATCAAGGGGGTCCCTCACAGCATAGTAAACATCCATCAGTCTCAGGAGATTATGGAATTGCGCTCTGGTTGTCGGTCTGGAGTGGCCTCTCCAGGGCACAAAGCCAGACCGTTATGTTAAATAGCAGTCTTAAATATCCCCACATCTATTATGTTAAATGGTAATTTGCTCCACAAATCATCCATTTCCAAACCAGTATTTACCCGGGTCTTTCCTAAATCTAAACTTATCCAATTTATATCCATTGCTTCATGTTCTATTTTATGCTGATATATTTAACACCTTATTAATATCCCTTTTGTTATGCCCATTCATCCACTTGTAAACGTCAACCTTGTCAGCCCTAACTCTTTGCTTTTCCAGAGAATGTAAATTAAGCTTTTTCAATCAGTCTTCACATGAAAGATTTCTAATTTGTGGAATTAACTTTGTCATCCTATGCTGAATGCATTCTAGTGAATTTATATCCATTCTGTAGAATAGTGACCAAAACCAAACTGCATAATCTGAATGGGGACCAACATGAGCAAGATATAGCTGAAGAATATCAACAGGTATTTACTATTTGTGCTGTAACACTGTAAAAGTGTTTGGTTTAGTTTATTTAGAATATATATAGTACATGAGTCACAGACGAGGATTTGGAAAGGCGCCAAGTTGTCGGCCGGAGATCTCACACCTCTAACCGTTAATGACTCCAAGTGACCTGAGTTCAGATCATGTGAATTTCACCTTGCTTCTACTAATCTCATAATTGGAGCCTGGTAGCCTTCAAACATGCCGACGTTTAAGGAGTGGCTTGGTAGAGAGCCGGAGGCTATCTACTTGTGGGCGGAGTTAGCTACTAGGTTCCCCAATATATACTCGGAGAGCTATCGATTTGAGAGCATTTTAAGCAATAGGAGACCAGCCAGCGGAGCAGAGCAGAGGCCAGCCATCGAGATAGGCCGTCACCAGACGGAGGGTGACGCTGCTTGAACATTGCAGACTCCCCCCCCCCCCCTCTCTATTCAACTTAGACTCAGTCCTCGGTGAGTGAACATTTAGGTGACTTGGTCGTGTTTTACAAGTGTTGTGTGATGATCAGGGGCAGTCAGTTGTAGTGTTCTCAGATTCTTGGAGGATGACTCACTTTGAATATTAATCTTTAACATTTTAATTGGATTGCTTAAGTTATGATACTTATCATGAAAAATATAATTGTTGAATTTATTATTTAAATGGACTTTATTTTGTTCCCTAGAGATTTTGAGTTGAGGTGAGAAAGCCTCTGTGGTTACTGGTTTCATGGTTTAGAATGAGTACATGATAAAGATGGGACCATACTAATAATGATCTCTTGATAACATCTTTTGAGAATATTGTAATACAGACAAGTTCCATTCCTTGTCTTATATTTGATGATCATGAATGGATGGTGGCAGCATTTCGTCTTCTACTATCTACCTTCTACTTCTACTATCTACTCTTCTACTTCTACCTATCTACACCTCTCCCTCCACCCCTCTCTGAACTCTCACTTTCAACTAATGACCCTTCTCGCTCCTCCCACCTCTCTGCCTCTCACCCCAAACCCTCACTAATTACTTCACTATTCATTTCTTTCCTTTCGCTTTCTCTTATACGTTTGTGGCAATGATTTTGTATTCTAGAGTTCTCTCTAGAATTTCGGGTAGCTGGTCAAGTTACGGTGCCTTGTAGTCTTAGCACCTAGGTAGTCGAATACCTAGGTTACAAGGTGTTGAACGAGAGAGGTTGCCTTAGGAACTCTGGGAGTGCTCTAGAATAGTTAGCTAACTGGGGACGGGATAACGGACTAGAGAGAGCTGTTTTCCCCGGCCTCGTTAGTTAACTGGGGGGTGGAATAATGGACAAGATAGAGCTATTTCCCCCCACCCCCCGTTACAGTGCCTGCAGAATCGCGTTACTAGCTCTTGGACCTCGCCTTTCTAACCTATTTTCCTCTATTATGTTAACTACATATATTTCTCTCTAACACTTGTGCACACACACACACATGTGCACATGTTCGTAAAAGTACGTAAAAGGGAAAGATCGACCTTTGAGGATCACCCTGAACAGTGCCAAACAGATGGAAGAAATACTAAAAAATGCTAGAAAATTTCAAAGTGATGGATTTCAAGTTGTATATTTCACTTCCCATTTACTATAAATCTTAGTGTCATCTGCAAATTTGATGATGTGGTTTGTAATATTCTCATCTATGTCATTGATGTATATGACAAAAAGAATTGGCCCCAAAATGGACCCCTGTGGTGGTACTCTTACCACATTTCTCCAGTCAGATTCATTCCCATTTAGCACAACCCTTTGCTTTCTTTGTTTTAATTATTGTTTTATCCATTCCAGTATTCTCCCATTTGTTCCACGTGTCTGTAGTTTTCTTGTTAGTCTTTCATATGGTACCTTGTCAAAGGCTTTAGCAAAGTCCATGTAAACTACATCTACCAAATGTCCTTTGTCTGAATAGCTGGTTACTGTTTCCAAAAATGTGAGAAAGATTTGTAAGGCAGGATCTATTTTTAACCTATGTTGCGTTGATTTTACAAAATTGTTTTCTGTGAGATGTTGAATGATCCCCTTCCTTAGGATTATTTCTATGAATTTGCAAATGTGTGATGTCAAGCTGATTGGATGGTAGTGTTCTGCCAAGCTCTTTCTGTTTTTTGAAAATAGGGGTAACATTTGCATACAGGTATTTTCAATCATAGAGGAACAATCCGTTGGTCCAGAAATTTTCTGAAAATCAGTTTCAGTGGTATGTATAGTGTATCTGCCAGTTCTTTTACGACTTTGGATTGAATTCCATCCACACTTGGGGCTTTTGAGTCTTTTAGCTTGTCAATGCTCTTTCTGATTGTGTTGCACATTGTGTATATCCCTTAATTCTTTCTCCTCACCTCCTTCAAATATTTGTACTCACCTAGTTGTGTTTGCAGGGGTTGAGCTCTGGCTCTTTGGTCCCGCCTCTCAACTGTCAATCAACTGGTGTACAGATTCCTGAGCCTATTGGGCTCTATCATATCTATATTTGAACTGTGTATGGTGTTTGCCTCCACCACAATACTACTTAATGCATTCCATTTGTTAACTACCCTGACACTGAAAAAATTCTTTCTAACGTCTCTGTGGCTCATCTGGGTACTAAGTTTCCACCTGTGTCCCCTTGTTCGTGTCCCACCCGTGCTGAAGAGTTGTCTTTGTCCACTCTGTCAATTTCCCTGAGAATTTTGTAGGTGGTTATCATGTCTCCCCTTACTCTTCTGTTTTCCAGGGTTGTGAGGTTCAGCTCCCTTAGTCTTTCCTTGTAACTCATTCCTCTTAGTTCCGGGACCAGTCTGGGGGTACCTCTGAATCTTCTCTAACTTCGTCTTGTGTTTAACTAGGTATGGACTCCAGGCTGGCGCTGCATACTCCAGTTGTGTGGCTAATGGGATGTCATCCAATCTCTCTAGTGTGAACACTGATATAAAATATTCATTCAGTGTTTGCTGCTCTTTTATCATCCACTATAACTTGGTTAGTCTCATCTTTTAAGGGTCCTACAGATTCCTTCGTTTTGATTTTACTGCGTATATAGGCATAAAATGACTTTGGATTTTCCTTTATGTTTTGGACAAGTTTTCTTTCGTAGTTTCTTTGGGTTGGTCTGATTTCCTGGGTGGCTAAATTTAATGCCCTTTTTATATATCTCATAATCTATGATGTTCATCGTGGCTGTATACCATCTCCAGAGGTTCCGTTTAGTTAACAAAGCTCTTTTTACTACTTGTGTCATCTATCTAGTTCCCTTTATTTTCTTTATGTTTTTGGCACATATTTTCGATCAAGTTCAGTAATGACCTTTTTGAAATTGTCCCATGATGCTTCCATGCCCTGGTCACCTATCAGCTCCCTCCAGGTGGTGTTTTGCAATTTCTCTCTCATTTCTTGGTAGTCTCCTCAATGGTAACCTAGAAAGTCCTCATCCTGGACCTTTGCATGTTTCCATAATTGTGCTCCATCTTAGAATATTGTCATCACATGACAGGGTGAGCTTTTCCCTTACCTGAATTTGATCAATTATGCCCTCTTCTGATGTTAGCACAAGATCCAGAATGCTGTTACCTCGAGTGGGATCTGTCACATGCTGTATGAGAAAGGAATCCTGCACCAGGTCAAGAAATTGTTCTGCTTGCAATGTTAGATTTATCCAATCTATTGTCTCGTGGTCCATTATATGAGTTTGTGTTTGTGACGCAGCACTGATCACATTATGCAGATTAGTAACTTCCTCTGCTGTTGTTGTGTCCATCCTGTAGCATACTCCAGCTGTCAGTTTATTACCATCTTGAGCTAGTACCTAACCTAACTACCTATCATTACCTAACATCAGAAACTTACATTTGTCAGCATTAAAATTGATCTGTCAAACAGCAAGGAAATGTAGATGTTTATCTCTCAGAATGTTTGGTAATATGTTTATTGTTTGTGATGTGTGTATGTATGTATTAACACGATGTACTGAACGGGGTGAGGATAGCTTGAGCTACCTCATCCCTTTGTGTGTAATTTACCTCAATAAACTTATTTCAATTTCAATTTGTTTACAGCAGTTCTAAACGTTTTTGTATGTTATGCCAGGCTAGTTTCTTAATGGTTGGGTAATGGTTAAGTCATTCAAGATATAATAGATTATTATGGCTAGTTTTTGGTGGTTGGGTTCCATTTACACCCTGTCGTTGTACGGTAGAGCGACGGGGTGTAGGTCCATCCACACCCCCATCCCTTCATGCAGGCCGGCGTTCAATCCCAGACCGTCCAAGTGGATGGGCACCGTTCCTTCCCCTCCGTCCCATCCCAAATCCTTATCCCTTCCCATTTCAATAGTCTTAATGGCTTGGCGCTTTCCCCTACTAGTTCTCTTCCCCACACCCCATGCCTCTCAAACTTCACTGTGTACTATGAACAAATTTACAATGCGGAAACATTTACTCACTTTAATGTGATAAATATGACACCAATCTTCCTCTTATTTACGCTAGGTGTAGCGTACTCTACGCTGTCTCCTCGACCTCTTGATGTCTGCAAGATATAGCTGTAGTGCTATACAAGTAATCTTTTTATTATACTGGCCCTTGCACCTATATGCTGGCGTCTCATGTTTTCCAAACCTGCGGCCGCAACACTCTTACCAACTCACGGAACACACGGGAACTTAGATATTACATATTTGCACACTAAATAATTACAATAAGAATTAAAATATACGTTTCATGAAACATTTATTACTCAAACTTTTGGTCTAATGTTATATGTGAATATGCTGAACTATTGACTGACGTGATACAAAATGTGGTAGTGGACACGTGAGACAGATTTGGTTTGGTAATACTGCTATGAGTATTTATAGTGAATACGAGATCAAAACATGTTATAATAATATAATACATTTTTGGTAATTTTGAATCGATTAATAATAAGAGTGAATATTTTAAATATAAAAAAATACATAGGGCTCGAAAACTTCTTATCATTACACTCACGAATATTGGATGAGTTTGCTAGTGAAGGCTGGTAGACTGATTTGGTAGACTGGCTGGTAGACTGGCTGATTTCTTTTTATCATCATACTCTCACCCAAGAGGAGCCACACATCTATGTTTCTTCCAGTAAAATCAGCAGACTTCTAGATGTTACTACTGCTCGGCTTAGACTCGGTTACAAGTATCTCTGGGAATTATCATTATCTGCTGATATATGTAAACTGTGTCAACAGAATTATTCGCACACCCTCCGTCACTATGTGATGGAGTGCGAAAAGATACGTGAATTTAGAGACAATTATATAACCAATGTTCCAGCGATGTATAGATATTTCATTCAAAATGATCTGCTACCAGAAATTTTAGCCAAATATCCCCAGTTTGCTAACTGTTGGTAGTAACTAAGTGATTGTAACCTATCCACCGATGCCCACTGGATGGGGGGCGGTGTGCAGGACAAACATATCATTTGTGGCACTAGCTCTCCACATATGTCAGTTGCTTAACTTAAAAACTGTACTTGTGGTCGATCTCGAACCCATTTATGATGTAACGACTTATACTGAATTTTCTAACTAGCTCATCAAGATTGTAACTTGCTTAGCTAAATGAATTGTGGGGTTCAGTCCCTGAGCCCATCATGTTCCCTGTAACCCTTTCCACTACCACCCACAGTGGGTATGGGGCGCATAATAAATGAACTAAACTAACCTTAACAAGCTTAGGTATACACAGCAATGTGCTGCTATCCTATTCTATATGACAGAGTGCAGTTCAAAAAGTAGCCATAAGTTCATCTAATATCCACACATCACAGGATTGATAGTCATACATTGAATCAGGAGAGAACATGAAATGAAAGGCTGATCTGTCAAATAAAAATCAAAATGTTTATTCAGGTAAAAGTACATACATAGAAGATGAGTTACAAACATAAAGTTGGATTTATAGATCAGATCTATTAGCCTGCACCAGCAGACTCTGGGTAGAGCACACGAATTATCCTACAATATTCGTGAGTGTATCAAGTATAGGCTGGCAGACTGAAAACTCATCTCGTGTTCTCTGCTAGTGCAGCCTAACAGATTAAATTGGCATTACATATTCTCTCCAGATTCCAGTATGATTAACCATCCTGTGAAATGAGGAATATTACCGGTAAATGAACTCAGCACCCCAAATTGCTGTGTCCCTAAGGTTATTAATAAATAACACACCTCTTACATATTATACATAGTAGATATTTTTTAACTTAATAAAACATAGTAGATATTAATATGTTTTTATTGCACTCGTAGGTCCTTTTCATCAAACTACTGCATGGTTGTGTTGTTAGTGTGATACTGGTGGGATGTTATGCACTATTTGCAAATTCATGTATACAATTTTTCAATCATGAAAATTTGCCAGTTTTCTGAACATTTGTGAAAGTCGTGTAGGTCTTTTTGTAAGGCCTCCATGTCATTTTGGCATCGTGCTTGACCTATTCTTAATGTCATCTGCCAATTTGACGATGAAGATTGGTAATATTCTCATCTGTCATTGATGTATATGATAGAAAAGGGATGACTTCTTATTCTTGAAAAAAATTATGTCCTTGTCTATTTTGTCAATTCCAGATACCATTTTATATGTAGTGATCTTATTGCCTCTATTCCTTTTATCATTTTGCTTTTGGTATACTGTATTTAACATCTCTAGCCTCTTTTTGTAGTTCTTGTTTTCAGTTCCAGAAGCCATTTAAGTAGCATGCCCCAGTACCATAAAACTATTGCATAACTCAGTTTCAGTCTCACAACTGTTGTAATTTTTTTTTTCTTTTTTCTTTTTTTATTTTACCATCCATATATTTAAAAGTAATTCTGAAGTCTGAAAGTGAAACATAAGCTGCTCACACAGTGCCCTGTAGTTACCTAAGTGTAGTTACAGGATGAGAGCTACGCTCATGGTTTTCTGTCTTCCCAGCACTCTTTGTCATATAACGCTTTGAAATTACTGACGGTTTTGGCCACCACCACCTTCTCACCTAACTTGTTCCAATCGTCTACCACTCTGTTTACAAAAGTGAATTTTCTTATATTTCTCCGGCAGCTTTGTTTCGTTAGTTTAAATCTATGACCTCTTGTTCTTGAAGTTCCAGTTCTCAGGAATTCTTCCCTATTAATTTTATCAATTCCTGTTACTATTTTGAACGTAGTGATAATATTGCCTCTTTTTCTTCTATCTTCTAGTTTTTGCATATTTAATGCAAAAACCTCTCCTTGTAGCTCTTGTCCTTCAGTTCTGGGGAACCACTTAGTGGCATGTATTTGCACCTTTTCCAGTTTGTTGATGTGCTTCTTAAGATATGGGCACCATACAACCACTGCATATTCTAGCTTTGGTCTTACAAAAGTCGTGAACAATTTCTTTAGTATTTCTCTATTCATGTACTGTATTTAAAAGCAATTCTAAAGTTAGAAAGTGTAGCATAGGCTCCTCACACAATGTTCTTAATGTGGTCCTCAGGTGACAGTTTTCTATCTAGAACCACCCCTAGATCCCTTTCTTTGTCAGAATTCTTTAAAGATTTCTCACATAATTTATAGGTTGTGTGGGGTCTATGTTCTCCAATTCCACATTCCATAACATGGCATTTATTCATATTAAATTCCATTTGCATAAGTGGTGCTCCATATACTTATTTTGTCCACGTCTTCTTGAAGAGCATGACAATCATCTAGGTTTCCTATCTTCCCTATTATCTTAGCATCATCAGCAAATATGTCATATATGTATTCCATCTCGTTTATGTAGACAATGAACATTTGCAAGAACTGAACCCTGTTATTACCTAAGTGTTATTACCATGAAACTACTGACGGTCTTGGCCTCCACCACCTTCTCACTTAACTTGTTCCAACCGTCTACCACTCTATTTGCGAAGGTGAATTTTCATTTCTTCGGCATCTGTGTTTAGCTAGTTTAAATCTATGACCTCTTGTTCTTGAAATTCCAGGTCTCAGGAATCATTTTGTATGTAGTGATCATATCACCTCTTTTTCTTCTGTCTTCTAGTTTTGGCATATTTAATGCTTCTAACCTCTCCTCGTAGCTCTTGCCCTTCAGTTCTGGGAGCCACTTAGTAGCATGTCTTTGCACCTTTTCCAGTTTGTTGATGTGCTTCTTAAGATATGGGCACCACACAACAGCTGCATATTCTAGCTTTGGCCTAACAAAAGTCATGAACAATTTCTTTAGTATATCGCCATCCATGTATTTAAATGCAATTCTGAAGTTAGAAAGCATAGCATAGATTTCTCACATAATATATAGGTTGTGTGGGGTCTATGTTCTCCTATTCCACATTCCATAACATGACATTTATTAACATTAAATTCCATTTGCCAAGTGGTGCTCCATATACTTATTTTGTCCAGGTCTTCTTGAAGGGCATGACAGTCATCTAAATTTCTTATCCTTCCTATTATCTTAGCATCATCAGCAAACATGTTCATATAATTCTGTATACCAACTGGTAGATCATTTATGTACACAATAAACATCACTGGTGAACTGAACCCTGTGGTACTCCACTTGTGACATTTCTCCATTCCGATACATTGCCTCTGATTACTGCCCTCATTTTTCTATCAGTCAGAAAATTTTTCATCCATGATAGAGCTTACCTGTCACCCCTCCTACCTCTTATGTGGAACTCTGTCGAAAGCCTTTTTTAGGTCCAGATAGATGCAGTCTTCCCTATTATCTTAGCATCATCAGCAAACATGTTCATATAATTCTGTATTCCATCTGGTAGATCGTTTATGTAGACAATGAACATTACCGGTGCAAGAACTGAACCCTGTGGTACTCCATTTGTGGCATTCCTCCAATCTGATACATTACTTCTGATTACCACCCTCATTTTTCTATCAGGAAATTTTTCATCCATGTTAGAAGCTTACCTGTTACCCCTCCAAAATGTTCCGGTTTCCAGAACAACCTCTTATGTGGAACTCTGTCAAAAGCCATTTTTAGGTCCAGATAGATGCAGTCAGCCCAACCATCTCTTTCCTGTAAAATCTCTGTGGCTCAATCATAGAAACTGAGTAAATTAGTTACACAGGATCTTCCAGATCGAAAACCATACTGTCTGTCTGATATTATATAATTTTACTCCAGGTTTACCCATTTAGTTTTAATTATTTTTTCCAATATTTTGACTATTACACTTGTCAATGATACAGGTCTATAATTGAGGCTTGCCCTGCTTCCACTTTTGTAGATTGGAACATTGTATGTGTGGTTTTCTGGTAACTTATTATTGAACCACCATTACATCTCTTTCTTTGTACGAGTTCTTTAATCATTATCAATATAATTTGTAGGTTGTTTTCTCTCCAATTCCATGTTCTATAATGTGGCATTTATTCACTTTGAATTCCATCTGCTATGTATTCCATTTTACTAATTTTGTCCAGGACATCTTGAAGGTTATGACAGTTGTATAAGTACCAGTATTTTATTTGTCCTAGTAGCTCAGTATCATTAACAAACAAATTCATATAACTCTGTATAACAGGCCCTCTGGTGTACTGTACTGTAATTTATATATGTTTTTTTTTATTAATACAGTATTTAGTTCATTATACATATGCTTTTTCACCAACAGGGTTATAAACCCATAGAACCG